GAGATAATACTATACCAGTATCAAAGGACAAGCTAAGATGATCTAAAATTTGTTGGAAGACTTCCTACACCTATCAGGTGTTTAAATTGTAACCATTGCTTGAGCAGCCAGGGCACTCCTAGGAGCTCGGAAGGCTGATTTACCATTGTGTATGATAGTCTGGAATATCATACATGGTGCCATCAATCCTTCTAGAAAAGATACTGTAAAACTAAAGAAAAACAGGAGTGATCTGGAGATGGAAAACATCCTTGAAAAGATTGCTCATTAAAGTTGGAACAATGAGTACCGGAACATCCAAAGTCCCTACTGACACAAAGGAAACATCTGGTGGGGACTTGCAACAGAACTATTTATGCAAAACCTTCCTTCTTCCGTTAGGGTTTCTTTTTTGCTTTGTTTTGTTTTTTAGGAGGTTGGTTATATAGGGAGGAAGAGTTCTTCAAGTTGCCACAGTGATTTATTTTGTGTGTGTGTATGCAGCAGAAAATTAAACTTCAGAGCTAAATGTAGTCTCGGAGTAGAATAAAATGTATTACAAGAACATAAGTATTTGATTAATACTTTCCTGTGCTATGAGACATTGGTGGTGGTTTTATATTTATATGTGAGTCACGTTTTTTTGCGTTTCCCAGGTGAGGCATCTCTTACCTGCAATGACACAGACTTTTTCAGCAGCATGGTACCGTTCAGCTCCAGTAGCTTCCTGTTCACTGCAAATAGTCTGATCTCACTTTCTACTCTAAGACGTGATTGACTGTGGTGTGAAGAAACAGTTGCTGTCAGTCTAACCTTGAAATGTTTGTCCTGCTCTGTTTCCAATAGCTGCATGCAAAAAACCTAAGACCGAACTTTTCTTTTGCGCAGGACGTATTGACAGGAAGATAGAGTTCCCTCTACCTGATGAAAAGACCAAGAAACGAATCTTTCAGATTCACACAAGTAGGATGACGTTGGCAGATGATGTGACTTTGGATGAGCTGATCATGGCAAAAGATGATCTCAGTGGTGCAGATATTAAGGTCAGTGTACATCACCGTTGTTACACTTCAAAACACAAATCAAATCTCATTTTTACTGCATCCAAAAACATCGTCTGTTGAAACTGTTCTCTAATTACCTGCGGTTACATCACTGAGGGACGGTTGGATGGCTTTCAAATACCTTTTGTGAGTGCCACGTACTCGGCTTTACAGATGGGAAATTTATCAACATCGTAATTATGAGGTAGCTCGTGTTGATAAGAGTACATACCTGCGCTATCTGAATATGATGGTTTAAAAGTAGCAAAGTGGAAATTAGAAGGGGAATGTGGAATCTTGCACAAATGTGCAAGATGCCTTAAATATTACTTAAGATAGTGCAGGATAAGAAGCATTTTTAGAGACTATGTTGCAAGCAGATAAAAACGCAACTGTAGATTAGGAAGCTGCAGACATACACAGTCTGCCTTCCGACAGTAGAGCGAGCCCTTGCTAGAGTTACCACACTAATGAGCTTAACCAAACATGACATTACTCTGTCACCTCATTGCAGGAGGATAACACAGTCTGCTGTTAACAGAGCTGGGTGCATCTGTTCCTCGCAGGAGGGAAATGCTGTTTAGGAAGCTGCCTTTCTGTCATGGAAGCATTACTCTGACTACAGGACACGCTCATCTAGCTTCATCCAGATTGTTTTACGTGCTTCAGTGCTACTGAACAGTATCAAACTTAACAGAATTTATGTTCTTAACACTCGACTTCTGCTACAGAGTCAGTCGGAGCAGGATGAAGGTGCTGTCTTCTGAGGTGTAGCTTGAAGGGGCTGCACACAGGCAGTAACTTACTCTCACTTTCTCTGTTGCAGGCAATTTGTACAGAAGCTGGACTGATGGCTTTGAGGGAACGGCGAATGAAAGTAACAAATGAAGACTTCAAAAAGTCTAAAGAGAACGTTCTCTATAAGAAGCAGGAGGGAACCCCCGAGGGGCTGTATCTTTAAGTCATCTGTCTCTTTGGGGACTATCAGGAACTCTTTCTGTGTTGATGACAGGCTCGTGTAAAACCACATAGTCTAGCTAACTTTCATTCTTGAAGAGGTTAAATCCTGGTGGGTTGTGGTTTTTCAGTCAGTGTAACACTTCATTTCCCAATAAAACATTTATTTGAACTGTTCTGGTGGCAAAGACCTGCTATTTACATGGAACTGTCTGTTCCTTAGTCGGACTTACTTTCAAGAAGGAGTGCTGGCGACACGGGAGTGCTTGTCTCGATGATCCGAACCACGCTGCTGACGCACCACAGCGTGCAGTGAGGAGCACGTAAGCGGGTTCCCCACCTCTCTGTCAGTCCTTGTTAGGCACGGCAGTCTTTTACAACTACTGTATAATTGCTGCTGTTCTTGAAGTAATTACTTTTCTAGGTCTCTTTTTAGGGGCTAAGTAACTAGGAAAAAAGTCACTTTTGAGTAACCTGTGTCCTAAGTCATATATAAAGTAATGAAAAACATGCAGCCTTAAGTAACATTTCGATATGCTTTAGAAGTACCCATCTCTATCTAGTGCTTGCGCTTACAAGGAAGCAAGGTGGATGCTCATTAGTATTCTCAGTTTACAGATCTAAACATGTTTGGTTACAAGGTACTTGTAACACTGAAAAGTTTATAAATTTGTTTTTCCCAAAAGGGTTACAGTTCATTACACAAACACGCATTAGAGATTGTCTTTAAAAGGAACCAACACAGTAGGAGGCTCTACAGCCCTGCGCTGCCATGGCAAGAGGTACGTACTCAAGGCATGGGCACTGACCAGCCCAGGTGCTAGAGGTGCACGGTTTGTGATGTTGCAGACATGCAGAGAGAAATTCAAACCGCAGGTCACATGCTTGGTGTTCTGCAGTGTAATCTTAAAATGAGTTCTTCCCCTCTGAACAAAGCTATGGCCTGCAGCTCCATCCCCATAGGAGTTAGGACCTTTCCTAAGTTGTAGCGATGCATATACTGCTTATTAAGTATTCTGTGTAGTGTACTTTTGTGAAGCGCTTGTGAAGTTCTAAGTAATTAATTTCCAAATGTTGTAATGTGATTTTTAAGGTTATATAAAGTTCCATATGCAGACCACAGTTAAGCAATGCGCAGTCTTTGTTCTGGAAACTTTCTGTGGGAGCAAATGCTGGCCAGTAACAGACGGCTGAGTTACACGCAGAGCCATCCCTTTGATAACTGCCAGTGCTCTAACAATGGTAGCAGCCAGGCCAAACGATTTTGTTTTTCTATGTAAAAATTATGTGGCTCATTGTTAAAAACAAACCCTACAGATGAACGGAGTCTTTTATTTAATCTGGACGACAGGAGCCCTGGAATGGAGTTGTTATTCATCTGGAGATAGAAAAACAACAAGCAAAGTTATTACCCATTCTTATAAACCTTATGAGAGCTGTCTCCTTGGAAAGGTCACAGAAAGACTGTGATTTTTTTAGCACTTTCTAATCATGGCTGTTGATCTCATCATCGCTTGAGGGGCTGAAGAGCTTTGATGTGTGGCGAGCAAGGCTTTTTTTATTTGAGACGTGGCTGTTAATGCTGGCTAGAAGCAACAACCACAAAGAGGTCGGTTCAACTGACTGAAGGAAGGCTGCAATGTACTAAGCTAAACCAAGAACTGTGTTCTGGTACACTGTCTGCCACAACGGTAACTGAAAAGAAACATATTTGAAAATTAAATTCTTACCTTTTACAGCAGAATTTAACTTCGCCACTTTCTCCAACATTTCTGAACTTGAGTCACAAAGATCAAGACAAAAGTAATAAAGATCAGCAGAAAGTGAACAGCGAGTATATTCCCCATAAGGACAGAAAAAGCTACCGGGGTCTGCATTAGCAGGCAGGACTTATTCTAGGAGCCCCAGTAAGTGAGCAGCCTCTGACCTCCCCAAGTGAAGGACAGAGCGCAAGTGCTGCAAAGGGAGAAGCTGTGCAAAGGGAGGGGCCCAGGGGAGGGGATGCATGGAAGGGAAAAGCGACTGAAACAGGAGTCACCACTGCCACCACTGGAGGTTTTCAAGATGCGATTGGAGAGGGTGCTAGATAATCGCACCTAGGCTCCCTGTCCCACAAAAGGCTGGACCAGATGATCTTTCGAGGTCCCTCCCAACCTGGGCTGCTCTGTGATTCTATGACTCCAAAAAGAAACACAAGCAGCAGCACAATCGAGCTTCCCCCCTCTCCATGTCCCTTCCAGGTCTTTAGAGGAAATGGCATTCTGCTTTGATGGGAGAGCAAAACCAAACACACAACACACACAATTTGTGATGTTACTGTTCAGTGCACAGAGTAACTCCTACCTCCAATTCAGGAGCTCTGTCATTTCTGAAAGAAGCACGGATTTTAAAAACAAAGTATGTATTTTTTACAAAGACTAATCAATTACTTTTATAGCAAAACCAGCATCACTTGCAACCGCAGCGATATTATAAGGCTCTTAAGAAGTGCTGTAATGCCATTTAAAATTCTGCATATTCCCTGTAATATTTAAAATAATTTTAGAAAGGAGTAAGTGAAGTACAGCCTAAACTAAAATGTGTTGTATCTTGTATCGTGGTGCTACAGGCAAAATCGAGCTACAGGTTGTATGGCTTTGTCCAGCCATAGTTTTCCATGTAATCAGATCTCACCAGCTGGATAATCCCGATTGTTTTAGTGCTGTTAGTGACAGCTAGTTTTCTCCTGAAAACTGCTGAAGCACTTTTGGGTATTCAGTCGCTGCAGGTACCCTCTTTTCAGATGAAGATCCAGTTTCTGAGTACTTGTGTCTCAAGAGTAGGGATGCTAAACAGTCTTTTACATATTTCAGCATATTCTGTCTTATAAGTATGTAACATAACTGTATCTTTAAATTGTTACCATATTTCATACTACTTCACTAGGAGCTTGCCTAAAGACTCTTGGAATAGAAGCTACTAATTAAACAACCATGTTTTGACTACGCTGCCTTCTTTGGTGAGGATTAAATACAGACCAGACCTCTACTTCTCTCGTGATGATCGCCTGTATTTGGGTTAAAAGCAAGTATATCAATTACAAAAACTTGTTTAAAAGTGAGCTGCTTAGAGATGCATTATGGATACATTTTCATTTTTAATACACTCACAGTTCTATTAAATTAAGAAATTAAAAAAATAATTCAAGTTCCTTTTGAATTTTCAAATATTCAGGTATATTTTTCATAAATATTCGTATTAAAATGGTCATCTGTCAAAACATACAAATACAAGTCCAAAATAGGTGCCTGCTCAAGCAAAGATTTAGCTTTTACTAACAGTGTATGTACAGATGTAATGGCTGTCTGACTCAGTAGTTATATATACACACGCATGCATACCAAGCTGAAGGAAATTACTGAAGTCCGCCAACTGGAGGACAGTGGAGCATCCATTTGGCAGATGTTTATTTCCTGTGCTGCTCACCAAACCATAGTTGGCATGTGCTGCATCTCCACTGAACTCCAGGGAATGTAATTTCAAACAATAGAATAAGAAATGTGGGCAACATTCAACAGGAGGCTATTTATAAGAGGGTAGCCTCCTGTGGGAGCCAGCAATACTTCAGAGAAAAGGATGCATTTTTGTGGGCAAAATGCAGTACTTGATTCCAGAATACTTGCGGCTAGTAGAACTCCATTTTGATAGCAATTTATAGAAAAGCTTAAAACAAACAAACAAACAAAAACCCTTCAAGAAAAAAGTACATAGTACCCAAGTCCCAACAGAGTTCCTGTTTGAAGAGAGACAGGTCTAACTGTTAGTTTTGGAATTAGCTTCTGTACTTTCTCCGCTCATCTACAGTCTTCTTTTAAACCTCCAATAGTAGATCCAGCTCTTCCATAGGCACCCGCACTCTCAATTCTTTTTCAGTCATTAGATCAAGCGTCTCTTGCAGATGATCAGGGAAGTACTCTACTGCATCCATATAGAGTACCTCGAAAGACAATGAGAACATTTTCTGTGCCATCTTTCTATCATAACAAGAAACACAGTATAAAGAAGTATGTAGATACGCAAACAGCTCTGTAGCAAGAACGTAAGAAATATCATATACTTCTTTAAAATAATACAAACAGAATTAGTACTTCCACAGTGACAGCAATGCAGATGTTTAGTCAAGCCTTTTCCAACTCTTACTAAGTAATTTTATTCAAAAAGATAAAACGTAGGTCAAGAGGTGCTGGAGCATTTGCAGCATACACAGACATTACCTGAGGAGTTGCAGGTGCTCCTGAATAATTTCTTATACTATTAACTAAACACATTTTTATTTGCCTATGTATTTCTGCTACTACCATGCTCATGATAAAACACGGTCTGCAAGACACGATCACTTCTAGATCACAGAGAGGAATTTATCTCCTTGCCTCATGCAACGCAACACCTTTCTGTTCTGAAACGCAAACAGCACTGCCCACTAGGTATGTTTCCATTTCAGATGCATCTCTTATTTGCAGAAAATCTTCTCCTTCAGAAGTCTCTCCTTTCATTTGCACCTAACTCATTACAACAACTACTAAAGTCTAACTTACTTTTTTTTTTTCCCCAAATGCAGAACTTCAAAAATGAGAGTATGACGACAGGTTTGTATTTTTTCTATGCTTGCTTACCTTTGCCCAAGGACAGTTTTGAAGGGCTTTATAAAACAATCCTTTACTTTTTTCTTTTTTTCCTAGTGAAGCCTGTGTGAGAAAAAAAAATGTTCATACTTCAATGCAGTAATAGCGGAAATAATAAAACAATTATCTCTGAGACAACGAAATTACTGCTGAAAAGCTCAGTGTTCTTCTGCTGAGGAATCCTTATTAGTATATATTGTGGTAGTTATGCAATTTGACAGGTTACACTGGTGACACTGGTTACACTCTTCAATGTAATTGAAGAGATGTCTTTAAGGAGTTTCAGGGCTTTACTTGTAAGACAAGTAATAGAACAAAGACTAGCAGAAAGAGCCTCTGCCGAGTATTTCAGCTAAAGTCAGTGCCTTTGCCTATATTTGACAATAACACTGCAATGGGCAAGAGCGCAAATCATTAACCAAAACTTACACCCAACATGCTGCACATATACTACGCAAGAGCATCTTTGGTACAGTGAAGGTGATAATATGTTATTCTTGTGCACTGAAGAGATCATGCACATACGCTTTCTTACTCAGCAGAAGCTTCTTAAGGCTGAATCCCCTTACACACAAAAATGGATATGTCAAATTAGCATCTATCTGGAACGAGTTAAAACTTCTTCCTCAAAGTACCCGTTCAACTATGTGATACAAGTACAGAGCACACAGCTATCATGAAGTTTAAAAAGAGAAGGGTAGCAGAGGTCAGAGTGCTGAACAGGCTCCTTAGCTTCAGTCACCCCAGTTACAGGTAGAAATAATTACAATTTCTTGTGAAGACATCTTTTGAATTGGGCTACTTTAAAAACACTTAACAAACGGGATTTTTATGGCAAATCCAAAAAAAGCAGTAATTCCAAAATACTGAAAACGCATTAAATGTTTTGAGATCTTTGGAAAAGAAGAGATCTTCAATCAGGAGTTTACATTTTCTCTTGTTCTGACTACATCAGTACTGCTGCTAAAAATCAGCAGCTTCCCTTGTCAATTCTTGAAGTCTAGAAATTCTTTTTCATATTATTGATAAAATTGGTTGTAGAAACTTGTGCTGTTCTGGTGTCATGATCTCTCTTTACTGAACAGCAATGCATTTCACTTACTGGAAACCCTGCTGCCAGAGCTGTGCACTAAGATGCATACACTTCTTTTGCAGCTCTGCAAAGAGCTTTCAGTAGCATTCTGCCTCTTAAGTTTTTCACAGAATCACACAGGTTGGAAGGGACCTCTGGAGATCATCTGCTCCAACCCCTCTGCTCAAAGCAGGGTCAGCAAAAGCAGGCTGCTAAGAACCATGTCCAGCTGCGTTTTGAGTATCTCCGCAGATGGAGACTCCATAACCTCTGGACAACCTGTTCCAGTGTTTCATCGCCCTCACAGTAAAAAAAAGCTTTTTCTTACGTTTAAATGGAATTTTCTATATTTCAATTTGTGGCCATTGCCTCTTGTCCTGTCACTAGGCAGCACTGAGAAGAGTCTGACTCTGTCTTCACACCCTCACATGAGGTATTTATATACGTTGACAGTATCTTCCAGGAGCCTTCACTTCTCCAGGCTGAACAATCGCAAGTCTCCCGGCCTCTCCCCGTACAACACATGCTCCAACCCCTTATTCACCTTCGTGGCTCTTGGCTATTCAAATGGACCCTGGACAGGCCAACAGCAGAATACGGTGCATCAGCCACTCCTCTTGACTTTGTATCATCTGCAAACTTGCTGACGGTACTCTCTCATCATCCAGATCATTAATGAAGATGTTAAAGGGCACTGGTCCCAGTATCAATCCCTGGGGTACAGCACCAGTGGCTGGCCTGCAGCAGGAGTTCACACTGCTGATTACAACCCTCTGAGCCTGGCAGTTCAGCCAGATTTCAGTCCTCCTCACTGTCCACTTACCTAATCCATGCTTCATCAGCTTGTCTATGAGGATGTTATGGGAGGCAGTGGAAGAGGCTTGCTAAAGTTGAGATAAACAACATCCACTGCTGTCCCCTCATCCACCGAGCTAGTCATCTCATTGTAGAAGGCTACCAGATTGGTCAAGCATGATTTCATAAAAAATAAATAGGAATTTAAAAGAAATAGTTTGTATCAAAATCTATATAAAAGCTTTGTGTTTTTAAACAGTGAGAAGCTTTTGCCCAAAATACCAAAGACTGAATATCCAGACACACCCAAAGAGAAAACAGAGAGATCAACAGAACTTAGGGTAATACTGGACAATCACAACTTCTCATTCTATGACTATATCTGAAAATTTTAAGGTTTCTAATTGATTTTGCTTCTTTGAACAGTGTTATTCAAAGCTATTACTGAATAGTCCTTCTTGTTCTTGTGAAAAAGTTATCTTCCATGAATGAATCATTAGTGATAAAATACACACTAGGTGATTTTACTTTAGTATTTGTACATACTGCAGTCTCACTAGTAGTTTTTAAAGAATAACAGTAATTCAATTGTACATTCCAATATACAAAGTTGTATAAAATATTTACAAGCATGTATTTGTGTAGAAATGGTCATAGTAATAGTCCCACACAAGAGATCTTCTCAAACACAAGACAAGAGCCTCTCCTTCCTTCCCCTGCCTCCTCCGTATAACTGCTGTTCCCCTCTGACAACTTATTACACCAGAACAGAGGAGTAATACTGTGGAATGAAATTCCCCTTACATGAGTTCCAAGCATTTCTGTTTTTGTCTTCCATATTGTACTTTGGAGAAGCAAGAAAAGAACCAAGATGACAAAACTGCCTATGTGAAGTTGATTTTATTTATGTAATTCCATGATGAACTATGGAAGAAACTAACATTATTGCTTTTTGGTGTTACTCTGCAATGCCAGTTAGCATAACCTTTATATGCAGCTTTTAAGATTCAAAAAGATTGTGAAAATTCAAGGCAAGCTATAAAAACTATAGCTATGTTTTCCCTACCATGCATTTATTTTGCATGTGGACTGCACCTTGCTTGCTCCAATGTCAATCAATCAAAAAATCTTGGTCTGGGAAAGTTTTTATAGTATGGAGAAAATAGAGAGAAGAAAATATTTGAGGGGCCCACATGGTCTTTTTACCATATTCTTTATTCCACCATAAATCAAAACCATACAGATGTTCATGCATTATTTTTTTCTAATTCAGATCTGGAAGTTGTTCCAGGGATGAAGTTAGGAAAGCTAAAGCGATTGGAATTGAACCTGGCAAGGAATGTCGAAAACAACAAAAGGCTTCTGTAAGTACATAGGTAACAAAACAAACGGTAGGGAAAATGTGGGCCCACTGCTGAATGAGACAGGGGACCTGGTTACACAGAACATGGAAGAGGCTGATGTATGGAAGGCCTTCTTTGCCTCAGTCTTTAGTAGCAAGACTGGCCTTCAGGAATCCCAGGTCCCAGACACCAGGGGGAAAATGTGGAGCAAGGAAGATGTACCCTTAGTGGAAGAGTATCAGATCAGGGAATACTTAAGCAAACTGGACATGCGAAGTCCATGGGCCCTGATGGGATGCACCCACAAGTGCTGAGGCAGCTGGCAGATGTCTTTGTGAGGTCACTCTTGGCAATCTTTGATCGATCACAGCAATCGGGAGAAATGCCCAAAGACTGAAGAAAGTCAAACAAGTCACTCCTATCTTCAAGAAGGGCAAGAAGGATCACCCAGGGAACTACAGGCCAGTCAGCCTCACCTTGATCCCTCGGAAGGTGATGGAGCAGCTAATCCTGGAAACCATTTCCAGTCACATGAATGAAAAGAAAATCATCAGAAGTAGTCAGCATGAATTCACTAAAAGTCATGCTTGACCAACTTCATAAACTGCTATGATTAAATGACTGGCCTGGTGGGTGAGGGGAGAGCAGTGGACATTGTCTACCTGGACTTCAGTAAGGCCTTTGACACTGTCCCCCGTAAGATTCTCCTAGACAAGCAGTTGATGTAAGAACTGGATGAGCAGACAGTGAGGTGGATTGAAAACTGGCCCAACATCTGGGCCCAGAGGGTGGTGATCAATGGAACAAAGTCTAGTTGCAGGCCAGTAACTAGCAGTGTACCCCTGGGGTCAATATTGGGTCCAATCCCATTTAACATCTTCATTAATTATCTGGCTGATGGGGCAGAGTATACCCTCAGCAAGCTTGCAGATGACACAAAACTGAGAGGAGTGGCTGATACACCTGACGGTCATGCTGCCATCCAGAGGGACCACAACAGGCTGGAGAAATGAGCTGACAGGAACCTCATCAAGTTCAACAAGGAGAAGTGCAAAGTCCTGCACCTGGGGAGGAACAACCCCATGCACCAGTATATGGTGGGGGCCACCCAGCTAGAAAGCAGCTTGGCAGAAAAGGACCTGAGGGTCCTGGTGGACACCAAGTTGAACAGGAGCCAGCAGTGTGCCCTTGCAGCAAAAAAGGGCTAATGGTATCCTGGGCTGCATTAGGCAAAGCATTGCCAGCAGGTTGAGGCAGGTGACCCTTCCCCTCTACTGAGCACTGGTGAGGCCATACCTGGCGTCCTGTGCCCAGTTGTTGGCTTCCCAGTAAAAGACAGACATGCACATACTGGAGAGAGTGCAATGAAGGGACACTAACATGACTAAGGGACTAGGGCATCTCTCCTATGAGGAGAGGCTGAGAGAGCAGGGACTGTTTAGCCTAGAGAAGAGAAGGCTCAGGGGCATCTTATCAATGTATATAAATACCTGAAGCGAGGATGTAAAGAGGAGGGAGCCAGGCTCTTTTCAGTGGTGCCCAGTGACAGGACCAGAAGCAACAGACACAAACTGAAACACAGGAGGCTCTGTCTCCGTATCAGGAAACACTTTTTTTACTGTGAGGGTTACTGAGCACTAGCATGGGTTGCCCACAGAGTTAAGGAGTCTCCATCCTTGGAGATATTCAAAAGATATCTAGACATTGTCATGGACAACTGGCTCTAGGTAGCCCTGCTTGAACAGTGGAGTTGGACAAGATGATCTCCAGAGGTCCCTTCCAACCTCAACCATTCGGTGATTTTGTGAAGTTATACAAAATCAGGATCTAGATTTGACTGAAATATCAAAGTCCTTATAATTTCCTTACAGAACCCTAAAGTAGGTCTACTCTGCTGACATAAATACAAGTCATCTTTGCTGATTTTACTTACATAAAAATAATAAAACCCTAAGTCCCTACAATTTGCTTCCTCTTTTCTTAAATTTTGCTCCCCTGCCCACTTACCTTTATATTGTGAGTAAGACTGGGTGGAATCCATCTATTGACATCTTATGACATACTTTCTATCTATGTAAGATGGCAGCCACAATAACTTGCCTGCATCTATATTAAAACTACACTGTCAGAAGCTATTACTCCTTCTAATCCATGTGAATTACATTTTCCTTAATATTCCCAGCAATAAGGAGCATTACGATTCAAATATATCACCTTGCAAATCATATAGGTATGGCAGCATTTAGTATTCCTTTTTTATACAGTATTGTAGCTGTGTTCATGAGAAATTCCAAATATGGTAAAAAACAAAACAGAAACAAAACTGATGCTCTTCTTCTTACCAGAAAGTTCAAATACATTCTCCACAGCAGTGGACAATGGGTACCATTTTCACTCTGAACTGCGTGTTCAAATAGAGCTACAATCCGATTTGTTAACCCAGTTTCAGGAATAGTAGAATGTATTTCACCAACATCTGCCCTGAAACACAGAGGAAAAAAGAAACCACAATCCCTTAAACCCAAGCTAAAGGACCACATCCAGGTAAGAGAGGGTGAAGATCAATGTACTGTCTCTGTTCACATAGCACTGTACATAGCCAGGTTTTTGCATTTCATGCTACAAACTCTGAATGTTATAAACCAGATTTTTAGCACTTGCTTAATCTAATCAACACATTTCTAAATAGGAGAATCAGTTAAAAAAGATGAGGTATTTTTGTGAAAATTCTTTTAGTATGTTGAAAAATTAACCCTGTCCAACTGGAGGAGATAGTTTCTCTTTGAGTACAATAATCCACTATCGTATGACCTTAAAACACTTATCTTAGTCTTCATTCAAGATCGTTTATCATTCCAAGCTTGGCTTAGCAGCTCAAACCAAATTCAAGTCTAGGTCAGCAAGCCGCCTTCTGGCGGCCAGGCAACCCTTTTCAAATTTACCCCGTCACCTTTGTAAGGCCATACGTTGGTCTTGGATCAAGGCCTAGATTACAGCTCTGGATCCCAACCATGATTACAGTAATAATTTTCCTTTTCACCCAGAGATTCAAATCCCCTAAGTTCCAGGCATAACACAAAAGCAGGCACGTATTTTTCACTGAAGCATTGATTTCTATCTACAGCTGATACAAACTGGCTTATTTTTGATGCTTGAGCTTGAAGAAACAGCCTGGAGCACTCATGGCGACATCACTTCTGTCTGTGTGTATTCTCTTAGCCTGCCAGCTTGTTCCACTCACCCTTAACACTTGCTCCTAACTTGTCTCTTTTTTCAAGGGTCTTTGAGGTCATGTTTTCTCTCATCTTAACCTTTGCCATGAGGGAAAATGATGTAATCTACTCTGCATGGAGTCAGACATTTGAAGCATCGTACCTCACACTGACTTACATATGCTACTGTTTTACCCTTCATGTTCATTTCTTTAAATGAATTCCATGCACTTAAACAAGCAGAAATACAAAACAGAATAGGAAATAGTCACACATAGTACAGGCATTTTCTTAGTTTGTCACAACATCATAAAGCATTAGTTTTACGCATGATTGACAGGCCATTTATCTCTCTGTTGCAGTAGTTCAGCTCTGCTCTTGCAACATCCAACTTGTCCCTATACAAATATAATGTACAGGAAAGGCTATGCTAGCAGAGAACAATCTGGAAAGGAACCAAATGTCACAGAGAAAATCATCATTCTGGAATTTAACATCGGTTTCCAGTAACAATAATGAAAACCTATCATAGTGTTTGTCTGTAATTAACAGTAAATCAAATTACAATCCTCCTTTACATTTGGTGGCTGTAGAATTCTTATTACAATTTAGGATGACATAGACTGACAGCTCAGGAATGTCACTATCATGTACGCATGCCTGTTGCCAGACTGTGGCAATCAAAGCAGTGGGTGCACTGTCATTTTAAAGTATACTGATAATTCTGTAATTTCATCGAGTGTGAATATTGTAAGCTTACAGCTATGGAAAGCTTCCAGATAACATTTTCCTAGAAATCTCTGTTGCTACGTGCAGACACAAAGAACCAAGCTGGCAATGTTACCAGAGATACATAGGTAGCAGTGGATAGGTAGCTCCAAGCAACAGGTAGACAACAGTTAGAGACTAAGCTTTAAGAATGAACACATACCTCTGTTCCCCACACCTCCTACCCTTTTCTGCTTTCCCAGGAGCGCAAAATCTGAGTCCAGACCACACTGCGAATCCAGGAAATTTCCAGCCTGTTCTACGTAGCAACAGCCCCATATGAAAACTAAATTCTCAAGTACTCACTATGGAAACAGGTCTGCCACAACTGTATTCTGTGATCCAGGAGCAAAGTAGGGCAGCGAGCTCAGTCAGAACTGCAGCATAGCTCTATGTTACACTCCTTACTGCTGTAGTATTAAAATGCAGCAGTTTCTAAGCTCACAGTGTCTACCTTGGCCATCTAAGCAGGCTCTTAGTTATTTAAAAATTATTTAAAGAAATGCATATCATCTTGATTGTCAGTAGCCAAGTAATCAAACACAAAGCAACACACAATCTGATCCAGCAGAAAGGACATGAGACTGTCACCTAGGTCTTTAATTCTATTCAGGATTCTGCCACTGGCTCACTGTTCAGTCTTGAACAAATAACCTTCCCTAGCTACAGCTTCTTCATCTGCAAAATGAAAACTATGATAGCATTTTCTCCCCTCTGTTAAGTGATTAGACAGATCAAAGAAAGCATAATCACAAGGAGCTGCAAGATATTACCTCTGGACATTCTCAGTGAGTTTTTTTCTCATCTGCTCTGCTTGGATTGCAAACAGCCATGGCTCTAAAGAGTTAGTAGACCTTGTGACACCATCAAAAAATCTTCGTGCTTTGCTAGCACTGTGAGACTTCCTTTGGATGTGGATATATGACCTCCAAAGAGACTGGTTGCTAGGATACCGTTTCAGAGCCTCTGTTAGTGCCTCTCGCAGAGGATTCAAAGGATAAACACTCATTTTCATGTGGAATCTGAGTAAATTTGTATGCAGCAGTGTGATAGCTTCAAGAGCAGTGGGAAAATTTTGAATGCCAAAATTCTCTCCAGTATTTTCACATGTCTGTGGACCAGGAGCTTCAAGTTTTTCTGAAGTCTGTGCATATATTAACACTGCAGCATCAATCCCAACAGTCAAATACTGGAACAGTGCGTAACAACCAACCAAGTTAACCAGCTGATTAGCATCACTGACCTGATCTTGATCAGCAACTGGTGTTTTACTTAAATAATCTTGCAGTGCATGCTCATATGTTTTACGAGCTTTCAAGATGTTCACAGATAACACTTGTCCACTGTAGGGCATGTATGGTCCACTTTCAGCCAATTTGGTCAATATATGAACAGCACGTGACATAACAGCTCCTTCTATACTTTCTAGTAGTTCCACTTCCAGCTGAGCATAAAGCAGACTGAGGCTGCAGAGCTGGGGACTCTTCAGTCCTCCTGTCCCTGTCGCGCAAAGAGCTGTGTCAAATACCTTCCTGGCATCATCAATGTTGCCAAGCAGCCATTCTAGGTAGGCATACAGTTTCCAGAGAGAAAGGTGGTTTCGGTTGTCAGGTGCTTTAAGGAGATTCTTGGCCAACTTTTTACTCTTCCTCCCTTGTGCTTTCAGCTTCTTCTTGTTTTTTGCTTGTAGACACTGAACTACCTGCAGGGGAGAATAAACAGAACAAACTTTGAGAGGGGTGGGAGAAGAAAAGAAAAAAAAAAAACCCACAGCATTTTTTAATTTCATTACTGTGTTTTTTTTCACATTTCACCACCAGCCAGATCTGTTGCTACTGAGTACTGTTAAGTTGTCACAACTGCCTGTTGTCAGCTCCCTCCAACATAGCCAAATTACACAGGCTTATCATTCTTACTCCTGCCACTGCCATTAAGTAATATGAAATTTCACTCTTAAAAGGCCAACTGCTTAAATAAAGATCTGCTAACCTGTAATGGTTGAGAAAAAGAAAATAAATGATCCTGTCTGGCCAGATGCAGCTTATGACTAGCACAATTAAACCCTCAAGTAGCTTTTCACAGTGGGGAATGAGCTGACAGACAAATCTGGAGATTGGATGGGAAGATTACAGGAGATCTTCTGGTCAGGTAGTGTTCGGGTAAGAGACAGGGAACTTCTCCATAAGGAAACACAATACTAAACTTTCTGAAGTGTTAGGAAGACAACCTAGGCTCTCACCCTTCTGTGGGCATCTATTAGAGCAGTTTTACTTAAATAAATCCATATTCAAGTGATAAGGTGTTATTTCCTTCAATAACACTACAAATGTAACTTGTATAGGAAGTAATAAGTTTCTTGATAAGGTGGTCTGATGGTATTGGGGATTATGCACTTAGTAGAATAGTTTGGTAAAAGTACTTGGCTGACTCACTCTGCCTTGTAAAACATCACTTGCATCCATTCCTGTCTAGCATACAATGTATCATATAATAACATTTATCCAAAACTGCAAAGAATATTTTGTTACATGCATGCCACAGTGTAACATGCACTGAAGAAAAGGCTTTAGTTTTTTTTTTTTTTTTACCCCCAGTGCAATCTTAATTGGCATTTCCCGATTTGAATACTTAGTCCTACGAGACTTAATTTTCATCAATATTTATTTTAATTCAATATAAACATTAATACACAAGAAAGCCACACATCACAAAAGTGATTACGTGCAGATTCCTCATTACCTTCGATATTTCATACTGTAACCAACAAATGGACAGGTTAGATTTTTCCTTTCCTGAAAATAGCAAGAATAGAACATGAAAAACGTTCTGTATGAACTCCTCTCCTTCTTTATAGTGGCCTATGTGATGTCTCCCTCGAAGCATCGTGTCCATATGACCAATACCGTTGAATCCAGAAAGTGGAAAATCAACAGAAGTCAGTGGCTTTTCATCAGAAAGCACACTGTCAAAGATGTTATTTTCATCCATGGCAATATAGAGGTTGGAAGGAAAGAGTTTACTTGTACATGGAACTCCCAGGAATTGCAAAAATGAGTATAGTAGTTGACGTTGAAGATCTGGATTAGAAAGCTGGATTAAAGATGGTCCAAGATCATCAAATAATACCTAAAAAAAAATCAAAATTAAAACAAACTCTGTTAATTTATGCAATCAAATAAAATTAGCAAACTTATAATTTATGTAATTAAAGAACCTTTTCAAGTCAATAAAGATATATAATTACTATTAAATGGTGAGAATGTCATTCAAATTAAAAACAGACAAGTTAAACAAGCAATGTGTTCTTCCAGTCAGACTGTATATTTGCTATCAAGAGATTTCTTTGCCCTTTAGTATCAAAGACCTCCACAGAAAACTTAGACAATGAAGGTCTGAAAGATATTATTGCTTAGGCCATTTAACACATTCTTATTTGAAAATCAATGTCTGACTTGACCTATCTCCCAAGAAGGGTAAAAAAAAAAAATCCAACTGACTTGAAGGCAACAAAACCTTTGTTTATTCAACGCATATATCTTCTCAAACACAGATTTTTGTGACATTTCCACATACGGATGAGAGAAATCACAGAACAGCAAAGACAAACTTTGCTTGGCTGTATTTGCCTACAGCCCTTTCCAAAGTTTACCATGAGCTTCCCATGGATTTCAGAAGTCTCAGCACGAAACCTCAGGTAAATTTTGAATTCCAAACAAAGAAAAGAATTTTTTCCAAATGAAGAAAAGGATGACTCCTCTAAAATATCCATTGGCAATGAATTCAAATAAAATGATAATTCGTCTTATCATCTCCCCTTGTTTTGTTATATCACAGTGACCTGTCTTTCTGGATCTTCACAATCTTCTTCAGTTTCCTTTTTGTTTTTTTCTGGCCTCCATGGTAACCAATGCCTTGCTTCACGAGAATATTCAATATCCAACCAAATATGCCACTTGGGAAGAGTTTTGTCCTTTATTTCTTGATCCTCATCTATCTCTTCATCATCATCATCATCATCATCATCTAAAATCAAATCAAGACACACACACACAAAATTATTAAAGAAAAATTAATCCACCAAATCCAAAGGCCAGACTTGACATACAATTTAACTCCTTTAAAAATGTAAACGAATACAGTGTTAGTAAAACAGACACAAGACAGAGCTGAAAATTGCCACATCACATTTCCACCCAACATTCTGGGTTTTGACACCAACTCTGTAAGAGTAGGAGGTTTCCAAACTTTTTGAACCAGTGAATCAGTGTCAGCACTCAAACTTTCTCATAGCGGAGAAAAGAAAACACTGACAGGCTGTGGACCACTTTTATCAACAGCAGTTTGCAAGCAGCAGCCAAGAGTCAGTCATCTGTTTGTGCAACTTAGGTTCTTCACTTCATACCTGGGCATACAGTCTCAAACGTGCTCTATGAATACTCAGGTGCATAAAACATTTTGAGAAAACCACTGTAAGTAAAAAGTAGTACTATAATGTTAAACATGCAAACCAAGCTTGGCAATGTTGCTTTAAAATGCCTGGTATTTTCAACATTTTAATTAACGTGCAACTGAAACAACCAATGTAATTAAATACACACAGAAGGAAGTGCTTAACCACATCCCACTTTTATGATGATCTTTCTGGACTATTAGATACAATTAGCGTATTTTTCCTGTGACAGCAATATATTAATTCTGTGCTGAAACTGATGAGAACCTGTAGGCTAAGGGAAAGCTTGTAGAGGTTTTTCAAATACTTTTTTCTTTCTTGTTGTTGAGGAAAAAAAAGTCCTCAAAATTTATGGTTACCTGCACTATTTTTTTTGGTACAAAAATCAGGCCATTTCTACGCCACCTCCAAATTCTTGATCCTGACATTTGCGATTAACTAGGTGAAACACCCCCACTCACAGTTCTTAAATTTCAGGTAAAACAAACAGGTGGCAAGATTTTTACTCTCTCTATATTTTTTGTGATCTGTAGCCTCTCCTTTAGTCAGCAACTCTATGAAAAATGCCTGCATTTCCACGCTCTAACCAAAGCTTGAAAAAAATTGACAGTTTTACAGATTACACTTGATTATAGATTGCACCTGAACTTTTGGGCTTAACACACCTGGGGAAAAACATTGATATATGCTGGACCTGCCCAAGACCAGCAGCAGTCCTCTTCTCTATACTGAGTCTTCTCAATTTGTGGGCAAAATGTCTATAGTAATCAGCAGTGGAACTGCTGACCTCAGTTAAGGGGCAAGGAAATTCCATCTTAATCCAGGGACAAGGGAAGCGCAGGATCATTTTTCAGTTCTTTTGTTTACTAAAAGCAGAGCCAAACTTGCTTCATTAGAGTTGCTACAGCAGCAGGAGCAGCAAAAGCAGAGACAGCTCATCTTTGGTCAGACACGTTCCAGCCCCCTGCTTCCCTTCAAGATGTATCTGTTTGAGAAACAGTCCTTGACATTAAGGGAACCACTGTAGACCAGAAGACAAGGTGGGACTACACAGCAGGGAGGTGTTTTCTGCATCCCCACTCACCCAGAAGCACCCCAGGCAAGTGAAGATGCAATTCCTTCATTTTCTGCATCACAAAGAGAAAGGAAAGGTTTTCCTCCTATTTCTACTATATATTTGCTATAAGAAACTGAAACCTGATTCTAGAAATAGAATCATTAAGGTAGGAATCCTTGAGGCAACTATCATCTAATACTATAATTCCACCAGGTCTACCAGGTGGGAATATGATGAAAGGGTCTTAAGGCTTCCTTCCACTTTAGATGGGCATGGGTCTCAACCAAGTACTCACACCTTTAGCCTTTTCAGCACAGAGTGGAGGATATGCCATCCTCTCCCTTAATTCTCATCCCTAGGAAGGACAACAATATTCCATAAACAATACCATACATAGAACACTCAACACGTGCTTTTCCCTGTGAAGTATGATATACTTGATCTTGGTAAATATTCTTTAAAACTTGTATGCAAAAACATGAGAAGAAACAGCTTGTATCATTCTAATCAAAATGTTTAGAAGAACACGTGGACGTACAACTACACATACTGACATAGGCATACCAGGCTTAAGAGCAATCCAGCCACCCTTTTCTTGTTGGTGCATCCATGCTTTCCAGCCTCTTGCTCCTCTTTCTCCAATTCGTGGTTCTCCACTATCCCAAAAGGGTTCAAAGAATTCCACCTGTTGTTTTGGGCAGGGGGAACCAAAACAAAACATACAGAAAAATCATTTTTGCTGTTGTACAGACACTACCCAAGGTCAGCTTAGGTTTTCCAGACCCTACAATCACTTATCTGGGTGCAACTTCTGTATCTGAAGACTTTGTTAGATGCTGCTTAAGAATCGGCAGGAACAACTGAGTACTTCAATTATGCCTGGGGTACAGCAGGACTGTCATCAGCTCTTCTCATGAACATAAAGATTGTTTTTAAAAGGTGTTAGGCTTTAAAGAAAGCAAAAGACTTTTGTGCCAAATGTCCTATACAGATCCTTCAAGGATAAGGATCCGAAGTCCCCAAGATGTGGCTTTCAGAAACCAAATCTCCCCTCCTCCCTATCTTCCATGGGACTGTGAAGAATTTGGCTAATGGAATGATAATTCAGACAATCATACACCTATGGTCAAATCAAAATGTTACAGTTGGATGTTAATATGACTGGACTGAGGACAAGAGGAAAAGATCAGTAAGGCCTTTCATCTCTCAGGTTTCAGGGTGGTCAACAACTTCAGGCCACTTTGTCAGTCCTGACCTTGTCACTGCCTGCATGCATCTGTCATCTTTAGATTCATCAATTCCTCTCCTGCTTTGTATATACTTAGCTCTAATTACCACCTCTCTCCTGTTATATGCTTCTGCTGTGTATCAAACCTTGGCTTGAACATTGAGATGTGACTGTTAATACAAATATTAACAATAAAATTTACTCTAAGAAAAATCAAGCATCAACATATCAGAAAATGCAGGGCAACTGCAAAATCTAATTCTGCTCCTCATGGATTTATTCTTTGCTCCAAGTGAGAAAGTGAGCTGTGAAAACAGTACGGAAACAAGTAATTCAAGACTGAGTCATAACACTTCTGTGAGAGGGCAGAACGTGCGATCAGCTGTAAATCTGGCATTTTCTTATTTTCAAGAACTGCACTTTCCAACCTAAACACTGTCCTTTTAAATTGAGGTTCCTTTCCATCCTGCTTTCTTAAGATTTTTTAAATACTACAGATAATCTTTGCAGTTTTTCAAATGACTGGAAGCATAACTCGAGCTTTATCTGTGTAACTATACCAAATCTCCCATCCTGCGTGATAATGATGATTGAACTCTAAACTTTTGGCTCTTTAAGAGGACACCACTATTATTTGAACTACAAGATTGCTCCATTGGTGGGTAACAGTGTTAATCTAGAGAGCAAAAAATGGAGTCTCAGTAGTGATTGCTGGGGAAGAAGGTGAGGTAATAGAAGTAAATTCAATTTTTGTCCTCTACGGTAGCCCAGCTGCCTAACTGGTGGCCCTCCCTACCACTCATTAAAAGGGAAGCAGCTCCCGACAATTCAGTGGGATGACGCTACACTGGCAACAGCCCCCTCTAAATGTTAACTTACTGATTATTATTGGGGTGCACGCCCAACATTCTCCTGAGCAAATCAAGAGAAAAAGTGATTTAGTACTTTAACAGAATCTCATGGGTCAAATAGAAGACACTTTAAAGCATGAAGGTGTTCCTAATGTAGCCATCGAAGAATTACTGAAAACAACAGATAATGGAGAACCTAAGAAATGTTTGCAAGAACTGTCTAGAACAGAAAGAGGTTATAGGTCCTATCAGCTTTCTCCATCAACAGTAACAAAACAACAGCAGTTTTGGGGAAAAGAAGCAGGGGAAGTGCTAACTAGACACAGACATTGGTCAGCCAGCTCATTTTTTTCCCCTCTTTAATTAGTAAAAAAGAAGACATGAAATGACTGGTTTTCACACTTCTATTATATACAGTAGAAGCAGCCATTTGGCATGTAGTTCCAGAGGACCCACAAGCATTTTTCCAATGCAAGCATCACCTTGAAGAACGGCAAAGTAAGTTATGATTTAAAATATTTCCCTATGTCCTTAAAAATTCATCAACATTTTTCTGTTACAGCATTCTCTGTAATGCACAAGGACATACACCCATTTAAATGGAAATTGCTACCTGTCCCCTTGTTGGCAGATCTTTTACACTGTCAGGTTTAAAGAAGGTGAAGTCAATCAGAGCCTGAAACAAAGACACTGCTTTCTCAGAATGGCCAGCCTGTCTCAGAAAGTGGCACTGCTGAATAAATATAGCTGTAAAGTAAAGAAGATAAAGTTTTAATATTTCAAATAAATTTTGTTGCAAGTATTTTATTACAGCCCACAAATATACAAAAGACATACATGAAGCACTGTAGAGCATAATTGTTTTGGAACAGCTTCAAAATCCAAAACACAGGGAGTAACTAGCATAAATGCATGTCAAAATCGTTGTAGTTTAATTAACTTTAAGACCTCCCACTTTAAGAGTGCCAAAGAGATGACTTTTTATTCATGCCATACATGCACTGTCCTTGTTGATGAATAAAAGTTATACACAATGGTCCCAACTACGGTTTATCCAACATCTGACAGAGTGGGTCATAGCCCTCTTCGAAGATGCTGGGCATTATTGTGATTCACACAGTAAGTGATTACAACAAAAATCCTTTTTGCCTCATTTTTGCATGAGATAGTTACACTGGTAACATGTTGGTAATATACCATTTTCATTCCAACTGTCATTCCCATTTTCTTTTCCTTTACATAAGAACTCAGTTAAGAGAAGTCCAGTCTTTTGGTTAAAGTATTACTGCTTGAAAGTAGAGAAGAGTCCTATCCCTTGCTCTTCAACAAATTATTTCTGTAATCACTGCCATATCCCTACTACACACTGAGCCTCAAGTCTCAGCTTAAAAATCGAAGCAAAGCCCCAGTTTTTCTATTCATATATTTGCAATGAGAGTCTTAAATGAAAGAGCTGGAGAAATAACAGGTATTATAAACACCTCTATTACTAGGTAGTTCAAGAACATTTCAGAGATATTCCATCACTCCAAATTACACTCAAGTCTTAACAAAACTGTGGCTGTTCAAAAAACAAATTGCTTTAAATCATAATCTTAATTGGCTTGCAAAAAAACCCCAAAACCCATAAATCAAGACTTAAATAATTCATTGACAGTTTTGAAAACAGTTCTTCAAAAACTATTGTTTCTTCACTAAATGCATTGGCTTTAGAAGGTTTTAAACAATCAAAATATTTAAGTGTCTAGATACACACATGTAACAACATAGGTTAGCATCAATTTTTATGCTGAGGGTGGTGAAGCACTGGAACAAGTTGCCCAGCGAGGTGGTAGGTGCCCCATCCCTGGAAACATTCAAGGTCAGGTTGGACGGGGCTCTGAGCAACCTGATCTAGTTGAAGCTGTCCCTGCCCACAGCAGGGGAGTTGGACTAGATGACCTTTAGAGGTCCCTTCCAACCCAAACGATTCTATGATTCTATGATGATTCAATTGCTTCTAATGATTATCTTATTTTTTAATACTAAAAAGTGGCAAATGATTTACTCCTTTTACCTGTATTCAGATTTACATCAGATGTGTGTACACAAAAATTTGAATTCAGCTAGAATATACAAACTAGGCATTTAATCCCATTTTCTTGCAAAGTCAACAATTGTTTCTGATAACAAAGACTGAGATTTCTGAAGATATTTAAACAACAAAAAGTATGTTTAAGTATATAGTAGAATCTTCCAAAATATTTTAACCCATTTAGGCACTGTGACCAACCGACACTGAAAAAGTTGTCCTTTCCTAGTTTCTCAGCTTCAAACAGATGAACTTTGATTAAAATAGTCTGAATGTAGAGAATATCTCATCAGAACTTGCTGCCAAACTTGAGCCAAAAATAAATTATAGCATAAGATTTTCTGCATGATAAAAAAGAAAAAGATATTTGAAGAAATGCAAAGATCAGCATTTTCTTTGTGGTAAAAGCTGAAAACAGCATGAATACATATTTAATTCAGCTCACGATGCTAAGACACTTCTGCAGCTGAACTGACCTAAAAGATAAAGATGTTTCTCCCCAACCAGTAGGTATAATTTGAAAAATAGAACTCCCTTTCCACAGCAAAATTTGAGAATGCTTACCTTCATCTGCTTTATATTAACAGTTCCTAGTAAAATAAAAATATTATGAATTATCTCAAAATTTAACTAAAAACAGATCTATAATTTTAAATTAATTTTTCACTGCTTTCTTAAATTTAATGTTTAAAAAAAAAAACCCCACCACCCAGCTATTTCCAAGCGGATAGTACTGCATACTGAATTGAACACTAGATGGCACAGTCCACCACTATTTAAAATTAGCTCTTACATTTTGTCATTAGCAAAGGTCAAAGGTTGAAGATACAAGCCTACCATCCATCTACACTGCTACTCACCTCATAATTAATTTGTGAAACTCATGGTATATTTATCTTAACGAACAATTTGGTAATCCTCCTAATAAGTACACTGACAGTTCAAATTCAGCCCAAGAATTAGAGAGTTGAGTCCCTAAAAAAAAATCTCAGATCAAGAAGTCTCCCCACTGGAAATTTCTCCACTCCTATCATTTGAATTCCAAAGGGGGGTGGGGGAACAACCCAAACCAAAAACCAAAACCCTCGACGTGTTCATAAACAAATCACTATAGTCTTAATACAGAACAACAAGACATTAAGAGTGGAACAGAAACACAAATAAAGTTGAGTTCATTTTCATTTTAACCTATCTATAGACATTGCCAGCAAACAAGTATTTTGAAAAATGTCAATCAATCTGATATAGTTAACTAATTAAAGGAACGCCATTTAAAAAACCAAATTTCTCATAGCAGTTGACAAACAGTATTAAATGAGTCAAATACATTCTGTGCAGGGAAACAAAATGAAAGAAAAACCTTCCTGTTTGAAAAAATAGATGCTGAGTAAAGCATCTGTCCTGAGAATCATTTATTGTGGTTAGTGTACAAAGTGACTGAAGTGTTGGAAATCGGAGACAGTAGAAGCAATTATAAACTATCAGGCAGTACAATATCCACCTGCCAGCACAGGATTTTTCCTCTACAGCACTTTTTCCAGTGCTTGATCCAAGATGAATCAACCGAAGACCATAAGAGATCCGAACACCTGAAACTAATTTGTAACCCAGCATCTCAATCTGTAAGTCCAGACTGGATATTGCATAACAGATAGCATCACTGCTAAAACAGCAGTTACAGGACTTGGACAAAAATAGAGGTGCCTTGGACTATGCTACACATGAAGAAATGTGGACTGCTTCATAATAGTCTCCTCTAGATTTAAAACAAATTTTAAAAGGAAAAAAAAAAACCTCAAACATATTCATGGTGACACTAATATTTCCCCCTCCTCAGTGTATTCATAGATTAATAATTCATAGCCACAACGACCCCGAGGCAGAGAAGCAAAACTGAAATGGGATAGGTTAAGTCATTTAACTCCAAATAAATGTAAAGCACATGCCAGAACTGAGCATGAACTCATTTCTTCCTTGGATCCAGTCCAGCATCCTAACCATCTGACTGATTTTCCTTCCAGGGTTAATTATATAATAAATTTTAAGTGGTAGATATATACATACAATAAATACAAAGGGCATGATCACATGGTATTACAGTTTAGAATCCTCCATCTACAAGCTGGGATGCTCAAGAAAATTTCACATCAGGCTTCCCATGTCCCTTCTCTTTTCTGGATTAAAGTAATTAACTATAAAACTTTTGAACAGAGATAATCGTTTCTTTCACAAGCCAACCTTTTTTTTTTTTTTAACAAACATTCTTCAAAGATAAAAGCACATCTCTTGGCTGTTGGCTGCAATTCTCCAGCCTTGACATTTGTACTGTAAACTGCTCAGCACATTAGACTTTACTGGATGTTATATCACAAACTCTCCTGGGGAAGAAAAGCATCTGCTATATCCATATTTGGTTGGAATATCTGCTTTAATTCTCAGCTAAAAAAATCAGGATGCCAGGCATTTTAAAGAGAATAAAAACTTCCTGTAATATAGGAAAGTCTATTCTTGTAGACAATGTAGTCAACTCCTGTGAAGACCATTCTGACCATAACATGAAATAGGAAGAACCTTACCTAGCATAGCTTCTTCTGTACCAGGCAGTAGAGGATGTGATACCATGCTGCCATCCTGTACAGCTGCCAATGTAGTCAAACATTTTCCATAGAGACCATTGATTTTTGAAACAGAAAAAGTAGTGAACTGACTTTGACAGAACAGGAGATATTTCTTCCACAGCTCTGGATTATTGGGATGTATGAAAATTAGCTTCTGCCATTCTTTGATCAAAGCTGGTGGTTCCCAGAATTCTGTGCAAAGCTTCAGCCTGGCGAGTTTCAGATCAACATTACTTGGATTGCTTTCAATCGCCCTCTCTAAAATAGCCAGTTTCTTTTCTAAGATTAACTTCAGTGATTTTCTTCTTACTTCCTGCTCTCCCTTACTGGCATAAGGGCTAGGTCCTCTCATTAATTCATCCTTAAAACAAAAAGAAAAATCATTACAACATTAGGGAGAATCATCACTAGAATCACGAGAAGAATGCTGACATTTGTGAAGACGAGTTAACAGCTCATTCTTCAGCAATAGTAGATATACAGCCCTAAACAAATGAAACGACAACATAATGTTCATGTATTTATTACTTATAATAAGCAACCAGGTCTGTAAGAACACATACCTGAAAAGAAACAAATTCCATCCAAGCATTAATATCTCTTGGGTTTTCTCTGACTTTCTTGTTATGTTCTTCCACTTTTGTCATTAGAATGGAATTAATCTTTATCCCAGGCTCTTGAATTGTTTGCTGCATATTTACAGGCTCATGGTCTGTACTCTTACACCCTTTTCCTTGTAGCCACACTGTAGTTGATGGATCATAAATCCCAAGAGGATTTACCTCCACTGTGTCGGAAAGATCATCAGTTTCCATTTGGAAAACTGGTATAAAAGTAGTTGGGTCAGATGGAGAACTTCTATTGCAAACAGGAATCCCATCTGTGTTCAGCATCTTCACATTGTTCTTTGTGAAGTAGCGCTCAGGTCGCCTCTGTAATTGCTTCCTTTTTGATGCAGAACTGTCCCAAGTTATACACTGTTTCTTTGCATCTATGCCAAGACAGGACTCTCCTCTCCTTTTATATCTTAGAAGGAAAAATACAATTAAACATCTTCTAAAATACACATTAGAAAAGATACCTCCTTTTTGAAAGAAAGCATGGAAGAAGTACTTTAATTCAAATTGACCCAAATAACGTATGCATAGCCCTTCAAAAGTGTAAGAACTGGGTAACTTTCTCCTTATTTAAGACTTCAATGTACGTATTTTTTCAGTGCCATCACAACTTTTATCATCATACTAAGCTTCCTCTGAGTTCAACAATATCTGTCATACTAAGCAGAAGAAAAATGTTTTTTTCCTCCTATCATTTTAAGCCATGTAGAGAAACCTGGAGAAAGAACAACAGACAGCATTATTTAAGGCTATGTAGATTAGATTATTTTAAACTGAAAAGTCAGACACCAGTAGTTCAGTCTGGTAATATCTTTCTGTATCCCTAAGCCTCTATCCATTTTATACGCCAAGAAGTGAGGGGTGAGGGGGGTGGAAAGGAAAGAGAGACTAGGTTCATAACGGCCACAATAATCCTATGGATTAAGAAAGCAAAATACCATCTTAAAATATTACTAAGAATGTCATTTCAGTGGCAGACACAGTGACATGCAATGCTAAAATAACATTTTTCATCTCAAACAATAGCTGACAATCCAAAGGTGGCAGAAAATTGGAATGGATTGTAACCAGGCAATTTTACTGCAAAGGTATATACACTACAAAAATAAACCCCATAAATCCTCCCTCCTCCACAAATAATTACTTTTTATATATAGTAAACAATTTTCAGAACATCAAGAAGTGTACATACATAATGCATGAACCCAGTGTAGGCTCCTTTAGATGGGCTTCCCTGTTAACATGGGGAAATGTTCTGAAGGGTCATCATAGTACCAGTAACCCACTAAGGATGTTGAATATGCAATTTCATCTATAGTCATTTGAAATGTAGCAATGCGTAAGACAGATACCCTTTGGTACAGTGTCTGAGTGATCTAACACAGAATCTGTTTGCTAAGAAAGCATCTGTACCTCTTTTTGCAAGGGTATCAAACTACTCAAGTAAGTAAATCTCTTGCCAAATCTAATATGAAATAATCAGTACCTTGATTTCCCTTTCAGACACAGAAACAGAACAATAGAGATCAAAAGGGGCACTCGCCCAAAGATGATCTATAGCAGAATCTGGGATTTCTGACCTCAAAACCATGCTTTTGCATCTGCCCCATGCTACCACCTCCAGATGGCAGTTTTACAAGTTCACATGCCTGCAGTCTACTACACAGAGAATGTTTTTAGAAAAAATGAAAATCATGCACTTTATTCCCATTATTTCATGGCATCTTTTGCCTTTTAAAATATTTCTGCCCAACGCAAAGTCAAATTTTGAAATAAACCATTCAGTTATCTTATTTTCTCATCTTCTACATAAAAATTTCACAGCCAGACTCAAGTTAATGAGTCTTGAGATAGTGACTCTGTGGTAGTTTGAATACCAATAGAAACCAACATATTGTACCTTGCTATGTCCCCTCGATACAGGGATTTGTAGGCCCAGTTTGCAGGGTCTGCTTTCTTGTCTATTCTGAAGGTTTCTGCTGTGAAAGCCTGGATATCATCAAGCCAAATAAAGCAATTGCTGGTAGGATTTGATGTTTTCTTATCTAGACTGAAGAAAAGGAGAAGAAATATATTCTAAACATTGGTGAATATATTCAGCATTTACAAAACCCAGGAGAATTTCTATAGTTCATAATAATTTAATTTACTCAAAGTCATGGTACATGATCCATCATTGCAAAGTCAGTCACACTCTGGGAAAGAACCAACTAGAAATACACTAATAGGACCATCAAAACAAAACACAAACACTCCTCCTTGCACTTCCAAAAACTGGATTTAGGATTATGAAAGGTAACCACCAGTTTTAACCAATTAATTGCTTGGTAAACTATAATCTAAAAGCCATATATTACTACTTTTAAAATTTACTTTTGTCATTCTTAATTGTAGCATCTTATTAAAAGAGGATAATCTGTAAGAGGATTATGTTGATTAGCTGTAATTATACCCATGCATTTGATAAAATAGTGTGCAAAGTGCTTTATGGATTACAGTTACACAAATGAACTTAAGTGGAAATTGCCACCTGCCTCCGAACTGAACTTCCAATCTGAATTCATTCTACAAATATGTTACTTCGTAAATGAGTTTTATCGTCTTGAGAAGCTTTCTAAAATTTCACAAGACCTACTGCATTTAGAGCAATTTTGTGATTCAGGTTTCAAAAACAGTCTCCTGAAAACTCAATATTCTCTCAGTATCAATAATTTATGGAAAGAAGCGAAAATAAGACACCCTGAAAGAACTTCAACCCTTTCATTTGGGCAAAGCACTGGCTGGTTGGCCCAGTCTAGCAAACAGCTGATGAACGAGGTTCAGCACATAAGTCCATTCCGTCCACTCCAGACACCCGTCCAGCAAAGACAAGAGTGACTGAGCAGAGCAGAACAGTCTTAGCATCCCAATGATTTTTACTGTGCTTCCTCACAGCCAAGTAAGCCTTTGTCACCACGAGCCAACAACAGTCTTCATACAGGAGGTGGTGAGGCTAGCTAGAGGCAGCAGTCAACTCCTCCCATACCACTGCCATTCTTCCACAGGGAAACAATGTTAAGAGCCCTTGGCACAGACGCATGTCCACAAGCATAGCTCTCAGCTTCTGGTAAATCTGCCTTGGGAAAAGTAGTAAATCTGGAAGTCAAGGACTGCCTGGACTACACCCAGCTGTAGCAACAGTTCCTCAATGTCACCAAATCCTCACTCTGTCCCCAGGAGCAGCTGCAGTGCTGTGAATTAGAGCCAGAGCTGCTAATGCTAAAGAAAAAACAGGAACTAGGGAATCAAAGAGAGGCAAAATGGCTGCTCAAACTAGCAAACATGATGAGAAACAGGGAAAGGTGACTTACACAGCCAGTTAGATTGGGCCACTTTGAATGAAGTGATCAAAAACCAACAGACTGAGAAAAGCACAGCTAGGGTATGCCAAACCTGAATACTCAGTGCGTTCACAGAACCTCTTTTAACTGCTCAAAGATCATGCTAGTCACTAGATACCTATTTTCTTTTTCCATACAAAAATGACACCTCCACTAATTGCACAGTACTTTAGAGTTTCTGAAATTAACAAAAAAGATCTAGCAAAACAATTTCAATTGTTCAAATACCCATCTAGATGTACCATGAGCAAGAAGTACAAAGCACACAGCATAGAGCAATAAATGAAATGTTAAATCGTACAACAAACTTTGTCTTAGTAAGAAAAAAAAAGGAAATGTTAACTCTGAGGAGGAAGTTATATCACAAGGCAAACACAGCTGTATGTTAAGACTTTTGCACTAATTAAAATAACATTTAATGCAATCCTTCTCCAAACTCTCCCAGTAAATCAAAGATCCATGAAAGGAAACAAGATGCTTACAAAAACTCAATATAAGCCTCTACATGTCTTTAAAAATACATTTCATTGCCGCCATACCATGCTTTGTTCTGCAGAACAGTACTTCACAGAATATTTTAGTCACAGTTTTTCAGATATGATTAAACAAGTGTTTCTAATTCTATTTTCATTGCTTTGAATGCAGGTTTAGTCACATACAGCTTAGAAAAAATTACCCACCAATGGCAAGAATTTAATTCATAAAGTTGAAGAGACAAGTACAAGAACACAATGAATTTACATCTTGCATAGTATTAATAAATACATACTTTGCTGCTGCTTCCTTTTCATGATTTCTGCTACTTCTTGTGGCTTTGTCCTTGATGTGCTTAGTGTCCAGGTCTGATTCGCTGCTACTGGAGTCTCCTTTGGTTTTCTTTTTTGTCTTCTTATAGTGGTGATGCTTTTTCTTTTTCTTTTTCCTTTTCTTACTTGACTGTTTCAGACTCTCATCTGTATCACTTTCCTCTGACAACTCTGATCTTGAAGTAGTCCTGCTTGGAAACAAGTGTATATATATATCTATATACATCCATATATCTAAGTAGTAAAACTGTAAAGAAATATCACCATAAGAAAGTTCAGAATCATTTTACCCTTTACCTTTATTCTCCCTGTATTTTTGGGGAAGACAGTTAGCAGCAACATATACAATGAAAGTGATTTAAATTTGCATTAAATAACAACTATCTTTACTTTTTCAGCTGCTGGAATTACTGACAACCAGTCTTAGAGTTTTAATTGTCAAAGGCATTTTGATCTGTGATCTGTATAAATATCCATTTGTTATCATCACCAAATTAAAGAAGATGACTGAACTGATAAAATTTCCTAACTTTGCTAAGACAACTTAGGTCAAGCTAAAAGGAGGAGAAATCTTTCAGGGTGACCACAAAAGAAAAAAGTCTGCACTTTTTTGCCTTGTTTCTTTATGATTTACACATGAAATATTAAAAACATACTTTTAAAATCACTTCCAGATTAGAAATTCAAATCTCACCTCTCAAAGAACAATTTTTGATGACTACTGAATTAATGTTATCATATAATATAATGTAATAACAAACACCACATGCAACAGACAACTGACTGACTGAGAAATCACATAAAGGACAGACACTTTTGACAAAACACTCGTATATGATTGTACATACTACATACACTCCCATACTTAATGATCAACTGAAATAATGGAGGTCTTCTCTAATCCTTAATTAAAGCACAAGCTGTTTTTAAACAGTTTTTCTGGAATCTCTCAATAAAAGAAGAGTGACAAGTCTCAGTATTCCTAATATGTCAATAAAAGAAAATGCAGCGTTTCAGAAGCAAGGCACCTCAGAAAATAATCTTACACAATTTATTTAAAGGCACTAAGACAAAAGAAGCTATGGGAGAAGCATTATCAGGCCTTAAATCAAACACACATATACACACTCCCCCAAACCAAAAACCCCAAAAAACCACCAACTGTGTTGGAATAATTAGTTTTTATTGAACTGAGAATGTACCCTAGTAATGGGAAAAAGATCAAACATTTCTCAGTACACTATTTTTTGACAAATTCTTTTTCAAATATTAATGAAATGTGGTGGGTTTACTATGTCATTCTATCTGAATAGTAATTTGTAAATTCCTTAGTTTTATGACATTAAAGTCCTGAAAAGATTTGAAGAAATATAAGCAGAATATATGACTGATGAACAGAACAGTGACTGCATTTCAATCACACAATACATGTAAATGTAAGAATAAGTATACAAAAAGATGTATTCAGCTGTGATTTTTATTATAAAGACATCCTCTATCATCACCACCAACAGTCATCATAAACACAGGAGCTTGTATCAAATTACAAGTGACTAAGTTTTTGAACTTGGCAACTGCAACTTGATTCCATTAATTATTAAGTGTTAGTTCTAGTGTAGATATGCCAAGTATAGCAACTATTCTAGTGAAGGTATTAAAACTAGTTCTTCAGCAAACGTGGCTGCTTAAAGCTCATTTTTGTAAAAGAATATAATCACCCACTTCAGTGATCATGTTCTACAGCCGCACAACTTGATACATGTAATATTTCATTAATTCACATCTTCAACTAGTTTTTAGAAAGTAAAAAAAGTCGACTGTGAAATGGCTGATTGAACTGGTTTTCACAGAGAAATCACAAAGATGACGCTTAATCTTTACATTATTTCAAGGGTCACTTAAGACATTCAAAAGCTAATGAAGAATTATGATCACTCAGTTCCCTTTCCATTCCAAAATAACAATGATTTAAATGCAGCTGTGAGACAAAGAAAATGGGAATGTAATTGCATAAGTGTAATTTCTCATTATTTTAAGTTAAAGGACATAGAAGCATTATTCATACCTTTATATATGATTCAGTTCAGGCCTTCTTAAATACTGAACAGTGGAATGAACCTAAAAGCTCCTGATTTTGGTCTCACATAACAAAAGATAAGCAGGACATAAGAAAGGCTATTTTCAAAGATATTGAAGTATATTCTACCTTATTAGTGGTGATTTTTCAGGGATGAGATTTGCAACTTCTGTAGTGCGCTGATGCAGTAATAGTGCATCCTCTGTAGAGAAGCTTGGGTTACTAAGCCAGTCCAATTCTGCAGGTGAAGAAAAGTGTGAGATCAATACAAATTAGCTTGCTGTATTTTTTAAAGTTGGGAGTTAATCTAGTCAGCAGACAGCTAAATTCACTGCAAATGTCACTAAGTCGTGTAATAATTGAGCATATCAGAAGGCAGTCCATGAAATTTCCATTTAGCAGAACACTATGTTTTAATGAGGTAAAGTATTTAGGAGCTGGAATCTTCTGGAGCTGGAATCAATCTAAGCTTTAAAAAACCCACTATATAATAACACTTCAAAGTTCATACTGAAAGCAGGTAATATGTTTTATACACTGCTATATACGTTAAAAAACCCAAATCTGTCCAATATTTTTACCATGTAAAATTTCTAACTTTATATATTTATATATTGTATAAATACATTATATATGCATAATTATGTAAGAACTTATATCTTCATATATTTTTATAATGTACAATCTACAATATAGATATTTATATATTTGACTTTAAAGAGTAAAATTGAAAAAAATTACAGAAGGACATAATTACTTCAAAGGTGTAGTTAATGAATGCAATACAACTTATACAAACTTACAAAAATGTACTTTACTCACTGTATGGAAAATATTTTTAATGGGATTTTATTGATAGGAACACCCATTACTGATAAGTATACTCAAGTGTTTTATACAAGGTCAAAACGTGTCACTGGATTCTCAGTCCTCTAACCTCCAAAATCATTAGACTTTTAAATAGTGTGAAAAAAGGCTAATTGATGCTAATTTTGATATATTAGTCAGCATTAAGTATTCTGCATCTAGACCTTAGCCATTTCAGTCATCGGGTAGGATCAGATACTGGCAGGATGTGGAGGTGGAATTTTTTGCCGTAATTTTACTGATATTGAAACTTCTATAACAATTTTCATAGAGATTTCATTTCTAGAATTCTTTTAAGTATGTGAAATTTTCTAACATATTAAACAACAAATGTTATTTCACATAAGCACAGAATTTAACACCAGCCTCTCCAGTGCCAGACCACAGGAGATAACAACAAAAGGAACAAACTTGGTCTCCGTGCCTGTTCTCCATGCTCTTTACAACCATTTTTGCCTCTGTGTTCTTCCTGTCACACTCGTGTCTTTGTGCTTTTGACTACACTGACCTCTAATCCTTAAATAGCATGAACTCATTGTCTGCCAAGCCATACATCTCTCCTCCTTCTAAAGTACTTATTTCAAAAATAGCTCTTCACACTAAAATTTTTTCTTCCATCTCATATCCCTGAATTGTTGTCCACAAAAGGATTTAAAATGGAGCAGGCTGCAAAACAGTTTGTTAACCTAAGTTAAACTCACCAAGAGGTATGTACAATCAAACAAAGCTCCAGTTCCCGTTTTCCAAGAGACTGCCCCTGCTACCAAAGGCCCGGTGGGGAGAGCCACCTTCCCTGATTCCTCTTGAACCTCCACCTCTGTGCAGAGGAGAACCCACAATTCATGGCCCCGTCAGGACCAAAACACACTTCCCATGAGCACCCCAACCAATACGCTGCAGAACATTGCCATGCACCATTTCCCAGCTCACCAAAACGTAGGATGTAGACTGAAAAACAAAAATTCAGCTGTATAATATATATGCGTATTATTGTAACCTTCTGCCTGGCAACCAGAATTACCAAACCTAAGGCAAATACACTACCCTACTTTGCTGCAAACCAATACAAGGGTGGTTTTTTTTTTCCTTTCAGGAAAATACCTAAAATATATTAATGTAAAATTAGAATAAAAATTGAAACCTTAAAAGTGCAATCCTTACTTGCTTATTTAAAATATGATTAAAACCTACTATTTAATTTAAATTAACCCACCCTGGCACAAACAGCTTCATTTTAAGTATGTGTCTATGATTCTGAAACTGTAAATATACCACAAAGCATTCTTCCAAAACCTTTGGTGAGCTTAAAGGAGAAAGATTTATGCTGGGTAATATGCAAGCAACATTTCACTCGCCTATCAAAATAATTATTCCCCCTGCGGGGGAATAAAGTGTTATGCAACAGTAAGTTAATTTCTTATTTCAATCCTGGAAGAGATGTATTAAGAACCAACCTAAAATCAGAATTACTTCTTAGAAGAATTGTATTTAGTATTTTCCATGAAATACCGAAATGTTTCTCATGGATAATTCTGTAACCATTACATATTTAAAACACACAGGAGTTAAATAAATTCATACACCTGATAACTACATAATCAAATTGGAGTTAATAATTCAACATATGTCACGCAGTATACCGAGTGCCGCTTTATACCTGAGATTTTTGAGGTATATTTATTAAATGCGATATTGATTTTAAAAATTATTATCTTCCTTACATTCAATTATTTCTGCTCATTTTGGTAATGAAGACGGGGTGTAAAGGAATGCAGGAGCAAACTGCAACCCTACAATGTTTTTCCACTGGTCATGCTCTGGTCTTCCATAAACATACACAAATTCAGAGAAAGTACAATGGTCCAGAGCACTCCAGATTTCAGTAAATGCAACTAATCTGTGCATAAAGCCTTTTATTTATTTACAGAATTAAAGGAGACAATTAATTCCCTTAAAAAAAAAAATCCATCTTTGTTTTGGTTTGCATTGTATTACCCAGATCCACCTAACAAAACAGAAAAATTTACTGGTTGGCAGTGTCTCTGGTGTAAAGGTGTGTCACATAACAACACAAAACTGTAAGTTATTAGCCAGACAGATCTCCTTAAAATTATTATATCTGTTCCAAAGATATACAAAACCTATCTAATTTGTCTTTGGCCCGATCTCCAATAACATACTTCAGGCACAAAGATATTCTCTGTAGCCTTTGAGCTTCTCTTCTTTTTAATAAATTATTGTTCCCCTTTGTAATGTGTAATAAATAATTTACTAGTATTATTATTTGGTAGAAATAAATTTATCATAAGATAGTTCTGTATTGATTTGAATGAAGAATTATGGTTCAAAAATCACTTGAAATGTATTAATACTAATACTCATGACACTGAATAAAACATTGGATTACATTTTTTAAAAAAATACGCTCGAAGGCAGAATGAAGTTAAATAATTTGCCTTCAGTCATACAGAGTTGTTGATGACAAAATTCAGAATTCAAGACTTACAATATTCAGACCATTAGGAAAAAAGTCTAAGATGTTTAACTTCTACGATCTTAATCTAAAGCCTTTTAAAATGCTGTACGCATCAAAACAGGCTTTTCATTGATTTGAAGAGCAGGTCCTCCAAAGATTAATGCAAATAATGCATTTTTTTAATATTATTCATCAGTGTAAACACTTTAGATACAGACCAGCCCAAACTAGGAAAAACACATTTGCATACAACAAGTATGCTAAATTTTATAACCTTGAGCCTTATGGCACTACAGTGCCAAATAACTCCCAAATGGAGATACAGATCCTTATCAGCACTAAGAGCTTCAGCCTTAAAAACTGAAAAATAGAAAGCAACTGATACATTTCTTTTTACAATGGCATTATTGATCACATTGACAAAATGAACAGAGAAGAAAAACAAAGAAAGCAGTAAAGCTCCAGCTGTTATAGAAGACACAATAAAACATGGGGCTGACTAACCATATAAATTTCCCTGAGGCACAAAACACACTTTAAACAAAAGAGGCCACATCTGAACTGGCAGAGTAGTGGAAAACAGTTATCTTTACATTTCTCTGTTTAAAAGGCTGTTCTAAGACCAGAACCACGTTCTTAAATAAAAAGAGTGAGTTGGCAAAATTTTCATTCCCCTCCTCCTCCCAGCAAATTAATCCTGCAGCTCACAAAAGGATGAAGCCTGGATTTCTGAGTTGTGTCCTCCATCCTTTTCACTCCCCACTGCTGCCATAGCTTCAGGAATTATCTGGGTTCTCTAGACCCTTCTACAGTACTTTGCCACATCCCTTAATTATTGGCTGGGCAAAAGGCAGCCTGTGCTGTGTCAGACTGTGATCTCCGAAGATGTTTATTAGTTGGCTAATGTACATATGCTCATCGCCAAGCCCATCTATCCTGGTAACAGTCCAATTCATGTTACAGCCCCTCTCTCAGCAGTGGCACTTATCTAGATTTATCTTTTCTAAGCAAATGTAGATTTTCACAGACCTCCTCTACTTTTGCCATTTCTCTCTCTCACCACAACAAATTTGACTGAAAGGGTTAAAACTCCTGAGGAGGAAGAGAGATATTGAGTAAGTCGGCTGACAGACAGATGCATAGCAAGCATGCATGAGATCCATTTCCATAGGAAATTTGCCTTAAATATAGCAAAATAATGTCTATTATCACCATTAACTATTAGAAACTAACTTCCAAGATGTCATTTTGACTTAACTTTACCTGAAAGTATCTGTTATTCCCTTACAGATGTGAAGTCACTCACTAACTTGGTGCAATATGATTACAACAGTAAGCACAAGGAGAATAAGGTTTATTTTTTATATTTTAAATTATTGTTTTAAGACCTCCAAGGAAAACTCACCTTGAGAAATGGAGTCATAAACATTAATCTCCTGACTGTGCCTGTAGCTTGGTTCTACCTGAGCGGATGAGATCAAATTGCATTTTTAAAACACTGAAGAATCATACTGCAAGAATCAACCCCTGTAGCACAGTCAATATGCCTCTGTGGATACTCCAGGGAAATGTTTAGAATTCTCCAGCTACAGTATTTTCTGAACAATTTAATCAAACTGACCTAATACTCTGGAAAGAACTGAACCATTTTTTCTATTACACAACGTGCAAGTCCAAACCTCCTTGTAAATAATCTCCAGTGAACCAGTTAGCTGGATACAAACATTTCAAACATCAAAATGCATTCCAAACTTTAAAACTCTACCTTTTCATTTTTTTGCTATTTTTTCTTGTCAGATGTCTAAAAAGTTTATCATTTTTGCAGACCAGATTTACGTTCTTAAAGAACATAAAAACTAAGAGATATAAAAGACTTATTTTGTGATCATATGCATGTAATTGTTATTGTTCTACTCTACCATCCACATTCATGAGCACAACAGTAGAAGCAATCCAAAGGCATTCTTTTTATACCTTCCCAAGCAAATAAAAAATTAAAAATTTACAGTGCATGTCTACAGAGACAATTTTTAAGAGTTATGCAAAGCCTTTTGTTGCCTCTCACAATCCTGAAAATCTGCTTTCAGCAAAAATCACTGCATCATCTTACTTATAGAATAGTTCAGACTGTAAATAATGCTGTGCATAATGCTTACTACCGTGAGTGGGGTTAATTATTACCACTGCTCTGTTCAGTACGGCTACTGATAAATTTGTAATTTATCTTCTACCAAAAACTAATTAAGCTTGACAACATAATTGTAAGAAACCATATACAAAATTACTTTGCACTCTAGAGGTTGCTGCAACTCAGCAATCTAGCAGGATAGGAAGAGTGTACAGCCATACTTCAGTTTCAGACAGCACTTATATTTATAAATGGTTTAGGAAGGTTTGTAAGAGTATGAGACAGAGGTGGTCGGAGGAATGAAACATGGCCAGCATATTTACATTATTACCTTAACTGTTACAATAAAACTATGAAGCAGTCCTAAATGACTGCAAAAGACACCTCAGTTTTGCATATCATGTTAAATACAACATACCCTGTGATCTTTGTATTATGATGGACTTTGGCTTCGTATCAGCTCTGAGGGAAGAGAGTCATCTATCAGAGAGATACCAAAGTTGCCCATCAAGTTCTCAAGTTTTCACAAGCTGAACATGTGAAATTTGATATATGCCACCATAAATGTGGTTCTGAGTTAATACTTAATTTTTGTAACTTATACTGAAATGTGGTCCTTAAAAACAAAGTACAATATAGGCTAAAATATAAAACAAACAAATTTTGTTCCTTAAAGTTTTGTCAATAATTATCATACAAAAAATTTCCAGTAGACCAAAATGTAACTCATAAACAGTGTTAATAACTGAAATCTAGATCCCAAAGTCAGTCTTAACATCTTTCTCTGTGTAATTTGATCTTCCAGACAGGTGGCCTGTGGTAACACAGACTACACATAACAAACCTAAAGGCTAAATTCCCAGGGGTTTAAAATACAAGCAAGGTCTTACTACCAGAGAATTTTACTTTACCTCTGCCTGGCAGAGCAGCTCCTCTTTTCCTAAAAGCTATAATTTGGGATCTTATTACATCCACTATTCCCTGCACCACGTGTCATTACCAGAAAGGCTCCTGAATGTGGCTAGAACATCTCTGTACTGGCAGACTGAGTATCAACAGCTGCAATACCATCAGGGGGTAATGCAGAACTGGTTGGAACAAGAAGCTAACCCCAGCCTGTGTTGCTAAAAGCTTCAAAAACTCACCATACTGACTGGACCAAATATACAAGAAATTTAGCCTAGGTAAACAACTCTCTTAAGAGTTTTCCCTTGCTATGGTGCCTAGAGGATGGGCAGACTCAAGGGTAGTGGAAACTGGCAAGCAAAAAGCATAGTTCAAAACATCTCCCAGTAGAATTAATAAATGTTGTGCATACTTCAGAGTTTGGCAATACACCAGATAGGGTTCTTTTTATTTAATAAAAGTACAACTTGCTAGACAGCAACCATGATAGTCAAAATGATAAACTGAATCATAATCCCACTCACGACCTTCCAAAAAATATCTTTTAAAACTAAAATTTGGCTTAATAAGCAAGAAAATGAGAAAACACTTTTTAAGTTATCCAAGGCTAGCGAGGAAAAAAAAGAAACCCTCGTTTTCTGCATAAAGCAAACCTCCTCCACCACACACACAAAGCTAGCATACACGTATTTTTCAAAGACGAGTATTTCTACAGCCATGCCTCCAACATCTACCAGCCAATAGCTGGAAGCAAATCTGAACACACCTGAGAACCCGCCAATGAGAAGCCAGCACCATTTTTATGGGAATGCCCCTATTTCGGGTTCTCCCCAAAGTTACCTCACGGAAAGTAACTTTATTCTTAAGTACGGTAACTTCATTCAAACCGGCAGCGACACGCCTTGCGCTGAGTACGCCTGTGCGCGCCTGACGTACGCTCGTACTCTGCGCATGAGGGCGGAGCCGCGGCAGAGGGGCACACCACCTTCCGAAACAGCGCTTACAGAGCGCCCTCAGCCGCGGGGCTGGCTGGCCAGACGAGCCCTTCCGCCGCGCTCCCAAGCCTCCAGAGGCGTTGGGCATAGCCCGCCGCTGCCGGGGGCCGGGCG